CGTGGACATGGTCTACGTGCCGTGTCCGGCGTCGCTGCTATCGTGGTACCACCGCATGCTCTCGAGTCTGAACCGACTCTTGGCGACGGACCACGACGCGCAAGCGGCATTTTTCTCACTGCCCCGAAAACAGTACATTGGCCCATTCCCGTCCGACTTTGCGTCGCCCGGAGTCGCCTATACCGGCGGCAATCTTCTCTGCGGCGACGACCAAGCCGGTTCACCCATGGTGTTTAGCAGTGTCGATTCGACGCCGATCTTTCGTGCATTTAGCGCCACGAACGCGTGCTACCGGCTCGTGTTTGAGTTTTTTCAGCCCGATCCCTTTCTCGTGCTCTTTGCTTTATCGGGTTTCCACACTGCGGCCGAACTGTCGAATCACACGCTTCTCAAGCTCTGTGAATGGGACTACTCGCCCGGCGGCAACTGCAATCTCGTCTACGAAAGCTCTCGACGCTTTCTGCTCGAGTCCAGTTCTGTCTTTGCCGATGCAGCATCCGTCGCGGCCAAGGTAGCTGCCGATGTTGACGCTCTCGAGGTCCAGTTTGTCCAGTATCTTCGCAATGGCTCGTCGCACATGCTATACCATCGTGGTATCTTGGACGCTGCCAAAATTGATATTTCGTGGATCTACTTTGGGTGGTGCTTTTCATATGCGTGGGCGGCCGGCACGCGAGAAGTGGTTTCGTTTCAAGGTGATGCGCGTCGCGTCACGGCCATCTCGGGGCCCTTGAGCCCGCTCACGATTCAGCCCAACCCGGCGGAAATTCCGCAAAATTTCTCCTTTGTGCTCATGGCCTGCGTGCAGTACATAACGTGCGTCTTTGTCGTACTCGCAGCGGGGATTGCTGTGCTGACACTCCGCCGTCTCGAGCACTGCGAGGGCCGCCACCTCTTTCAGATGAACCGCATGATTGGCCTTGTCTGGATTGGCTGGCCGTTCTTACTGCTCCGGAGCCTCACGGCCATGGTGCTACTGCACACGAGCTCGCTGACGCTAACGCAAGTCGGCGGCCTCGCGCGCTTTACGTCCCCCGCGCTGCCGTGGTACAGCTTGGTGCTCGTGTCCGGCGAAGTCAACTGGCTCGTCTACGTGCTCAACGACCTTTTTAGCATCGCAACCACCGAACTCACGCACGCGTACGCCAACCACAGTGCCGTGCTGACGTGGATCCTCATGCTGCTCTGGATCTCGGTCGCGCCGTGCCAGCACGCAGCTACGCTGCAGCGAGCTTGCACGTCCATCAATATGGACGACCGCCTCGAGTGCCACAGCGCAAGCATTCGCGTCGGTCAGTTTTCAAGGCTGCCCACGACGCTTGCGATCGCCCTTGGGAGCCTGGTCGTCACGTATAGCGTCGCGCGGTGGCGCCACCGGACGCTGCGGCCGTCGCCCCCCTCGGCGTTTCTCTCGTCGCCGGCCAAGTATATGTTTGTCGTGACCGACTGGTGCGTCGACGGCGTTCTGTATTTGGACGCCATGTCAGCGCTGCTCGCCGGTCTTCTTTCGTTCGAGATGATGGAGAATATTGTCATATTGGATGTGAAGAAGTGGCGCCTCCTCGTGGTCGCGCGGCGACGGCTCGGGAAGGACGCGCCGCCCCACCTCCGGCACGCGATCCCGCTACTCGAGTAGTCGTGCGCATTGTGTTGTATATTTCGTAGTATTAGTGTTTGTGCTATCTGTCGGCGGGGAATTCACTGCCCAGACCTGGCTACATGCAGGCGTAAAACGGTTTGACCCACTTCAACCTCAAGTAGCTGCTGGAAGGGCAAGGGTTTCTGTTCTGTCCCAACGTCCGCTCATCGAGCGATCGTCAAGCTCGACTGGATTCTCCTTGTCCAGGCCATTACGCCTTGCGACGTCTGCGGACAGAGTGAACCAGATCTGCAACTTGGACCAAGCAAAGATGTCAACTCCCCGAATGCCAAATGGGTGCGGGTAGATGTGAAAAGGGACGTTATTAACGTTATTAGCTATGAAATTATGGTACGTCGCGAGGCCGTTGCCATATCGACTCGTTGTTGCTCGGCTCCAAAGGCGCAGCGCTCTGGTTGCTCCATCACCCGCTTGGCTCCTGGTGTCCAATTCAGATCGGGCAAGTGCAGTGGCGTCTTTCTAGCGTGTCGTCCGCTTGTGGTATCCGGACTGTTACAAACGTTCGTTTTTTCGGTTGTGCCGAGTGGGCGGCTGGGCACACGCAACTTTTGCCATACAAACTTCAAGTGCAGCGCACCCGCAGCCGCGTGAGCGCGGTTACTCAAATTCAGTGGAACGTCGCGAGGACAAGGCAGCATGGCGGAGACGACGACGGCCAAGGTTCCGCGCGACGACGCGTCCGTCTACCAGACAGGTACCGATGGCCCATGGCCCATGGCCCGTGGAGGCTCATGCAGCGCTGCGTGTAGATGAGCTCCGAGGTACGCGGACTGTCGACGGGTTGTGGCCGTCCGACGCCATGCTCCGTAGGCTACCTCCTCAAGAAGACGCGCAACGGCAAGTGGCAAAAGCGCTGGTTCGAGACCAACGGGTGCTTCCTGACGTACTACAAGGTCCTGCGCGCAATGGTCGCATGCTGGCTCATGGCTGCGCGTAGAAGCAAGGCCAGAAGCTCCTCGCGGCCCTCAACCTGCCCCAGGTCGGCGAGATCGCGCTTTTACCCGAGTCCGCCGAAGGTGTGCACGCATGGCTTTGCATCGGCGCCAACACGTCCTTGCATAGATGGCCCAGGCCTCTTTACGATCGAGCTCAATGACCGGATATATACCATCAAGGCCAAGGGCCAGGACGACGCTGCGCTCTGGGTCGAGGTACGAAGACGAGACGCGCTATCGCATGGCGTGCGACGCAGAAAGTAGGCGCTTGTGTGGCGCCAGCAAGGTGGCGTCGTCGCCTCGAGCACGACGGGTACGCATGTTCGCTGCATGACGCCTCCTCATGTCGTCGGTCTAGACGAAGCCATGCTGCTCCAGCATGCGGGGTCCAGCGAGGACCTTCAAGACGGCGCCGACTCGCCGCCGCCGGCCGCCAAGCCGTCGCAGTTTCCAAAGGAGAAAAAGGTCGACAACGTATGTGCCACGACGCTCATGACGTGCTTGGTTGTAGCTCGACGATGTCGACACGGCCAAGTCGCCCGGCTGTGCAAAGTGCTGCGTCGTTCAGTAGGCGTGTAGCTGCAAGTTAGCGTGTAAGACCCTCGTCGAAGCGCACGATTGTTCGGACATCATCGTACTGTCTTCACCGACTGCAGGCAACATAAACGTCGGTGGCGAACGTGGTAGCGCTCGTTGCATGCACCAGCCATCTACCAGCTACGATGATGCTTCTTTTGTCCCACAACTTGGCGACGGATATTGCATATTGC